ATTTATTTAAAACAAGTAATATTTTTTTCTGCGTATTTTATGATTGTACGGATTAAATTATTTTTATTTCGTTTTTCACATGAAATTAATAAAATTATTGTATTTCTGTCTTGCAGGATATTCATACGAGCCCTATAGAGTTTCATCTCGAATAGTTACTCTTATGTTATTACTTGCCTCGCTAAGCTTCTATGCGGCTTATACAGCAAATATCGTGGGTTTGTTACAATCTACCACGGACTCTATCAAAACTCTTCCGGATCTTCTAAATAGTCCTTTGAAGATGGGTGTGCACAATATAGTATATAGTAAATATTATTTCCAGGTCGGTAGATAAAAATTATGTAAATTAATGATATGAAAAAATTTATTATATAATTATATTTATTATATAATTTATTAGTTAAAGTTATTAGTAGTAAAAAAATACATAATTGAAAAATAGAGTTCTTTGTGGAATGATAGTCTTTCCGAGATCCTGTTAGAAAGGCGATCCTGGAACAGCGAATCGAGCCGAAAGGAAGCAAAGCTAACTGGGTATCTGTAGAAGAAGGTGTAACTCGCATAAGAAACGAACTCTTCGCATTCCATGGTGAGATTGGTACGGTTTATCAACTGATGCAAGATACGTATTTGGAGGAGGAGAAGTGCGGTTTGACTGAGATTGATTTCCTAAATCATTTATATCCGCTTCTTGCGATACAAAAGCAATCACCGTATTCAGAGATATTTAAAACAGGGTAAATAATACCTCGAATTATTTTCACATAGACATGATGTTTTCAAATCTTTAAAGAAGAATGTTAAAAAGTCATTTTTTTATTATATTTAAGTCTTTCTATCCTGGCGAAAAAGCTTTTACGAAAAACTACATGACGTAGAGGTTTGTTTGTCTTAGAAATTCTTAGTTTTTCATAGATATTTGTAGTGGGACGTTATTTGACAGTGGAGGATTTCTTATTTCAGTGGAGGTTTTTCAAAGAAACAATGCCGTTCTACGTCCCATTACGAATATCTATAATGAAAAATTAATAATTTCTAAGATCTTGTCTCAATTTATATAGTTTTTCTGTACTTGTTCGTACAAATTTTTTTTTCGCCAGGGTAGCAATGTTCTCACCATTTCTCGAATAAACGATTGTTGATTATTTTCTATCTTCTGACTCAAACAATAATTCTTCAAGATCTATTCAGGTGTAACTTGAGAGTCAGATACTTTTTTAGCATTCTCCTTTACATCCTTACAAACTTTCTGGAAGTTTAAAGTCTAACATAAAAATGTTACGTAGTTTTAAAAGCGGATTTTATTGACATTATTTCTAAGAATGTATTGTATGAACCTATGAACCAATCTCATGATATAATAATTCTCGGAACGTTCGGAAATTATGTTTTTAGAGCTCTAAAATTACGAGAATACGGACTTAAATATCGCGAGGAATATCGCTTATATACGAGAAAACCAGTATGTTCGAGTCAGACCAGATTCATCACGATCGGTTTCACAGAATGCTATTTCGCGCTAGTTATAATGGGCTACGGAATATTTCTCTCTATAATCGTATTTGTGTTTGAGTTATTGTGGCATAAGAGGTAAGATTTAAGAGAGACTTCATTACCATGCTTTACTCTACTTGTTATATTTTTTCTCGTAGGCAAACTATGCACGAGATAAAAGAAATGTCAAATTCAGAAACTAACATTGTGGAAAGCCTTGATTAAATGCTTGCAGAAATGGATACTAGTCTGAAAGAAATCAAGAGGCATCTGACTTTCGTGAGCTTTTTGTTGCACTAAATCTAATCGAATTGAGAATTTTATTTATTATAAAAAATTTTATTAAAGTGATTTTTATTACTTTGTTGAACGTATGCATCTTTTAGTAATAAGTGTGAATTGTGAGTCGATATTATTTTAATATGTTATTGTCATTCAATATAAAATTACCAAACTTATACGCTGTTTTGTTCCTTTGATAAAGTCAACAATTCCTTTTATTCAGAAAACACTATCTGGAATAGGTTATTAGTAAAATAAATGCATAATTAATAAATCTTAAAAGTTTTTATTTATTATTTTATTTATATAATTTGAAATTAATTACTTACAAAATAAAATTAAGAAATTTTACAAATTACAATAATTCACAGTTAAAATTAATCACAACAGCGATATGTAAGAATTGTCTGCGTTTGGCAGAGAAAATTGATCAATGAGCTCAGTGATCAGCTTGTGTTGCTGAATTAACGCAGTCGTTGATTCAAGTCGGCAAAGCGATTAGAGCTACATTCCAAAACGTTCTCTCCAAGGAAGATTTTACTCCATATATTGTATTATAGTATTATAGTATTCATATATGTTATTATATATTTTGATTAAAATTTTTCTCGGGGAAGATGTTTTAATAAGGGAACTTGATTTAGAAACGCTGAAAAATAGCTGTTTCTTTGCGAATTTTTTATGAACAAACCATGAAGCCGATCTTTCTATTTTATATTACATTTTGGTGGTTACCATCATTACCACATTCCAGTGTTGG